GCCCTTTTGATTGTTAGGAGAGCTCCACCCTCAGCCCCTTGGGGCTGCTCTGCACCACAATGGCGGAACTGAGGGGTGCAAAAAATATCCCCCAGCCCTCCAGTCGCAGTCACTGTATGGCCGTTTAGGAATAGCAGGCAGGGCTGGAAGTGTCGCTCCTCGGCGGCTGACACTGGCCCAGCATGTACGGGGCTCTGGCTTCCCTCCCAGCACCGGAAGAGGAGGGAAAAAAGCATCGGTAGGTCGATGCACTTCCAAGCTGGCTCTGTGCTGCTGAGCTACCTCCCCGGCCGAACTGTACTTTTCTGGCCCAAGAGCATCAGATGGAATCACTTGGAGGGAACAGGAATTGCCAAATCCCATGCCAAAGTTTGTGATTCAGGAGGCCCAGGTCACGACCTGAGGATTTGCATATCTAATTTGCATATGCAGCCAGTTTCCCAAAGATGCCAATGATGCTGTTTGGGACCACCCTTGGTCTAGAGAGGAGGAAAACACGTGGGACCGCTGAGGCAGGAGAATTGCAAGTTCTGGGTCAGCCTGGGCAATTTAGTGATTTAGCAAGAGTGTGTCTTCAAAATGAATAATTAGGCCGGGCATGGGGGCTGCAGAGTGAGCTCAAGGCCAGCCTGAACTGCATAGTGAGACCCTGTCTCAAACACACACACACACACACACACACACACACACACACACACGCACAAAGGCCTGGGGGTGTAGCTTAGTGTGATGATTCTGGGTTCAATCCCTAGTATTAAAGCAAAATAATAATAATAATGTTGTACATTTTCTAGCAACAATAAATACATTAAGAAGCATTATCAGGTGCCACAAAACTACAATACATACTATATATGGACTATCTCGATTAGTTATTTAGGGCTTTTGAGACAGTCACACTATGCTGTCCATGCTGGCCTTGAGCTCACTCTGTAGCTTAGGCTGGCCTCAAACTCATGGTGGTTCTCCTGCCTCAGCCTCCCTAATTTTGGAATTACTGGCATGCACCACCACACCTGGCTCAAGAGCCTTGGCCCTTACCTGCTGACTTTATCTACCTCTGCAACAACATACTCACTTTACCTTAATCTCTTACCTCACACCTGGACCACCAGCTGCCATGTTGACTTCCTGCTTTTCTGACAGACAGAAATACTATACTTTCAGAACAAAGCTGATCTTTCCCTGCTTTGTTGGAAAGAAATCTTGTGGCTTACTATGCTGACAAGTTGTACCTTCCTTTATTCGGAGTAATGGAAAATATATATGACCGCTCAGCCTTCAAGACCTACCTCAAAATTAGGTGGATTCTTTTCAGATAGTGTATCCTTTCTTCTTCATCGTCTTTTTTTTTTTTTTTTTTTT